CCCCCCCCCCCCCCCCACCCTCGGGGTTTTAAGTAGCCAGGAAGCTACATATATTCCTCCTTCAGTGTTATTGAACTTAAAATTGACCCCCATCCGTATTCCCAGACCTGATAGTTCAAAAGTTAATCCAATGTCATCTATTAAGACATCTGTTAACTATGATTCGAAAACTGTAAACAAGACTCTTCGCGTTGATAAGTACTTTAAATACGATAAATTATGTTTGTTGCAAACTAGGGAGGCGTTTACCTGACGGACACTAAGAACGGCTGCTGAGAAGACTAATATTATAGGGGTAACCTTTGGACTTGCTAATGCACATGGCCCAATTCTCTACTTTCACATCCCCATAATGCCTTACGTCTTTGGGGGGTAACCAATCAAAAAACAGTCCCAAATTGAAAAGTTTCTTAATTGAATTTATAATACACCTGCTTTTATATGTACACTACTGATTATCAATTTATTCCAAGGTATTTTTGCGTGTACAGATCATCAAGAGTTTTAGCCTTACAGAAAATGTATTGACTTACGAAAAAATGTTTTAAAATTTACTTTAAACATCTTCAAGCTTTTATCTTTTTCTGTTTTTTACTTCTTCATTTTATCTTTGGATACCAAACAAGGTATTTTCAACATTGCCTGATCAGCCTTCAGCAAAATAAGTGGGTTTTTAGAGTGAAAGTAGAGAATAGTCTACACCTGCTTGAGCTTCATTAGCGGCATTTAATTCTATTTTGTGCTCTAGACTCTTCGATTTCCAGAGGTTACATTCTGTAATATCAATCCACTTCATGCTGCTTTGGTCAAAGAAAGAACTCCTGAATTGTACAGAGAAATAATGTTGACAAAAGGTATGTAAATATTTAATCGTCACTCATTCATTCATTCTCTGTCTCTCTGTTTCTTCTTCTCTCTCTCGGTTTACATTTTAAAGGAACTAAATTGGGAGACTAGCTCAAAGAAGGGAGAAACATAAAGCAATAATGATGTACAAGAATACAAATAATATTGCACCTAGTCACTTGAGTGATAAATTTACCACAGTGAAAAATACCAAAAACCTATAATGTTACAAACAATTTTGTGAACTTGAATTTACCTTTGCCAAAACCAAGTAAACTTGAAGAAATCATTTCTATATAAGGATCTAAATTATGGATTTTTTCCGAGTGAAATCAGACAGCTATCCGCCCTCATTAAATTCTCTTCGAAGAGAAGAATTAAAGCAATACATTTAAACGAAAATACTGAGTAATCGGTATGCACTTGAATTTGTATTTCTTTATTATATTATTAATATTATAATTATTATTTATTTATATAAATCTTATAACATTTAGTCTATGTAATATTATAAGTATAGATTATTTTTCAATAGTAGTTCGAATTCGTATTATTATTACACGACTTTCATGTAAATCTGTGGTATAATTGATGGAATATCGTGGTTAAATAAAGTCAATCATCATCATCTCTGTATCTCTGTTTGTTTGTTTTTTCTATGTTTCTTTATTTTATTATATTTTTCTTTCTCTCTTCCTTCTTTCTTTCCTTCTTTCTTCATCAGAAAAAAATCAGTTAACATTTCACAGCTACGATTTCACGCTCACGCCCCCTCATGTGAGCCCATACAAATTATGTCTCAAAAACACGGTTTTTTGATCTTTTCTCAAAATAATGACTATTAAGGCAAAAACCAGAAGTGGATTCAGTTAATTCAACTATTCACGGACTGTATTATATGGTTTAAATTGAATTCTATTGAAAAAACCACCGTACTTTTTGAGTTGAATGTACGCTGTTGGATGTATTTTACAAGAGAAAATGCATGACATAACCGGGGTCAAGCTAGAAAATCGTCTCTCCTTGAAATAAAACAGAACCTGTCAAAAAAACAACAAAAGCGGATTTGAAAACCCCGGGCTTTCCTGAACATTTTGGTATATAATTCATAGGAATTTGTTCACGTAAAAATTAAAACCGTATTTTTGCTGATTTTATAAGCTCAAACTATCTGTTGGCTATACATTCGCCTCTTATGGTTTCTTAGGTTTCGTAGCCTCGAAAACACGCTAACTACGGTAATTAGTGATATAGAACAGAATATTTACGGGCCATTTAGGATGTTTCATCACGCAGTATACTTGTGCTATATAACTTTACTTTTAAGAACAACCTTTTGCTTTGGAAAGAGAGGAAAAAGACCGAAAAGAGCAAATATTCCAAATGTATGGGCAATTGTTTCCAATTTCTACTCATTCGTTTGTCTGTCTCCCTGAGGGTGTCTGCCTTCGTTCCCTTCAGAAGTTATCATTTATGTTCTTTTATTTCATTGCAACTACAGGTGAAAATGTAGTCGATGATAAACCAACGTCGTGGCCATCACTCAGTGGTGACGAGGACAACGAGAACAACCAAACCTCTCCTGACACAACTTCAACTCCACCACCAACAACAAGTTCTCATCTCAACGCAAGCATTGATTCGGAAGAAGAAGACCATCAGAAAGACGAGTTCGAAGATCAGCCATTATCAAGAAAGAGAAGAAGTCAGGGTGAACATAACGAACAGGGAAGGTTAGGGGAAGGTAATAACAGCGACAGCGACGACAATGAAGATGGTGAGGACAGTAAGAGCGATGACGATAACGAATTCAAAGGAGATGATGACTATTTTGATTATGATAATGTTGATGATGAGGATGATTTCCCAGTGAATCCTTCAGAACTTCTAGCAAGTCACAAAAGACAACAACTGATGTATCAATTTATCTCGGAAATTGGCGAAAAAGTAGGATATAAGATAGGACACCAGTTCCACGATTCTATTCTCAATTGTTCCTTCAGAGGAATGGACTGCAAGTAAGCAAATCACTCTTTCTTGCCTCGCGATTTCTTCTCTTGCTTTTCCCTTCTCTTCTCATTTTTTCCTGTCCTGTTCTACCCTCTCCTCCCCCGTCTCTTCTCTTCCCTCCAACTCTATCTTCCTCTCTTATCTAGCCATTTTCCTCTTCACTCATATTGAAATCCTTGTAATAATGCGCTGTTGACTTTGTCTCAGGGAAAAGATGATCCAATATTGGGCAAAGTTTTGGCATCATAAATATGGCATTTGTTATACTTTTAATGCAAAAGCCAAATCCTACAATCCACTAAAATCTAACAAAGCAGGACCATCTCACGGTAAGTAGGATGGAAGAATGGATGGAAGGACGGACGGACGGACGGACAGACGGACGGACGGATGAATGGATGGATGTGGTACTGTATTAATCGCTGTTATCTTCCAGGTTTAACTTTGAAGCTGTTCGTAGACCAGGCAAACTACATGTCGGAGTTCACAAGAATGGCTGGGTACAAAATCGTAATCAACGAACAAGGATTAATGACGTTCCCAGACGAAGAAGGCATWAATGTTCCTCCTGGAGTGTTTGCATCAATTGGAATGCGAAAGGTTCATTTTATTTTCATCATGTATTCTGCCGAGTGATTGCACTTCAAAACAAACATAATCTAACAGAACTGGAACTCAACTCCTTTGCAATAGCTGTTATTATAGTTGAGCCCGAAGTATTCTTTTGTTTCAAAAATCATACAAGTTAAGCTATCGGGTCGATACAATCCTTCTTTTCTCAGATGGATCTCATTTGCATACATCTATATCATCTGGCAAATCTCCCAGATGGAATGAAATATTCAGGGAGTTGGGGTTAGGGTCAGAAGTTCTTATTTTCCCTTTTTTTACATTTTTCCTTTTTTTTTTTTTCCTTTTTTCCTTACTTGATTTTAAGCTGGTAACTCCACCCTTTGGAAATCATTCTCCATTGAATCAAGTGCTAAACGTAATACCCCCTCCCCTTAACAACATCCTGAACCTGCCCTTAAGGAAACAATAATTTGCCAGAATGWTTTAAAATGTTTAATTGTTTGATTTGAATGACAGGTGCACATCATCCGTGCTGATCCGTTTAACAATAACAGCTGCTTTGACAACAAAAAGCAATCAAACGAGG